TATAGTTTCATTTTCTAATATATCTCTAAGTCACATAATGCAATTAATGACATATTTTTATAATACTATTGATGTCATGAAACATTAGTTTATTATATGAACTCATTAGTTGACATGTTAATTCTGCATAAACATAAAAAGTCAAGGAATAATATGAATCAACTGTGATGATTGAAGGGTCCAAAGATTGATGAAAGGAATAACTAAAACATAAATTACCTGGAGGACAGTAACCGATAGTTCCTCTTACTCGATTAGAAAGAAACTTGATTAACCCAAAATCACTTAAATGACCAGTCATTTCTTTCGTCAAGAAGGATATTGCTTGGTTTTAGATCACAAAGAATAATCGGTGTTCCTGAATGCTGTATCTTAGTGCATGAGCAACGTCAATGGCGATATTTAGTCGTTGGAGAAGATTTGAAGTCCTTGACCCTTCATTAATTTCAAGGCTAGTTGGATGTAACCAATTATTTAAGCTTCCATTAACCATGAACTCAGAAACCAAATCTTTGAAATCATTGCCTTTATAATCAACTCCTGAACAAGCTGTGAGTTCTTTGACAAGATTTTCATGTCTTATGTTGCGTAAAGCTTCACATTCAGCTACAAAACTCTTTAAAGCTCCTTGTCTTTCAAGGTTAAGAACCTTCACTGCAATTACAATTACTTCTCGGTCAAGACTTCCTTTATATACAGAACCAAAGCTACCTGTACCAATCAAATTGTCTAAAGAGAATCCATTTGTAGCTTTAAGGAGACTTTGATAGATAAATTCAATTGTGAGTTCCTGAAAAGTATTGAAGTAGTCTTTGCTTTTCTCTTTCTTGAATGGAAAATTACAAATAGAGAAATAAGCATAACTGCAGCACCTATAAGCATAGCTAGAACTGAAATTATAATCTTCAAGTTTGAAGTCAATCCTCCTTTAGAATGTTCAAGCTTGCACAAAGGTAGCTTGAAATCGGGAATGCCACCACAAAGAAGTTTATTTCCAGCTACATGTGTTGCGGTTGCATTCTTGAAAACTCCTTCTATCGGTACTATGCCTTCAAACTCATTATAAGACAGATCCAACAAAGTTAATGATATAAAGAGCTAGAAACTCTGGAATCTTTCCTGACATGTTGTGAGAAAGATTCAATTCTTGCAGACCACTGAGTGAACTTAGAGATGAAGGAATGGAACCTTCAAACAAATTTGAACCCAGGTATAAAAATTGTAGACTTTTACAACTACCTAAACCAGCAGGAATTATACCGGATAACATATTATTAGAAACGTTTAAAGTCCCCATATTTTTCATATTTTGTACCTCCTTTGGAAGAGAACCAGACAAATGATTTTGGGATAAGTCAATGCCAATTGAGAAGGGAGACAATCTAAAGATTTGTGGAGGTATATGACCACTGAGATTGTTATTTGAAAGTCTTAATTCTAGCAAATTTGTCAAATTCCCAATTGTTGAAGGAATGGTGCCTTGAAACTTATTAGAAGAGAATTCAATGGCGATTAGACTTGTTAGGTTTCCTATAGAAGAGGGAATTGATCCCCAAAAAGAATTAGAATCAAGAAACCAATATCTCAAATTTTGAAGGTTTCCAATGTTAGAAGGAACTGTACTTGAGAGTCTGTTACCTGATGCTTCGAAAAGCTCTAGCTCAACAAAATCATTTATTGCATCTGGAATTTCTCCAATTATTTGATTGTGAGATATGACAATCTCCTGCATGTTCTTGGAAATATTCCAAAAATGTTGAGGCAGAATCCCTCAAAAGTTGTTGTGATTTATACGAAATTCCTCTAAATTAGTGGCATTAGACAAAGTGGAAACAAAGTTCAAGTCATCAACTTGTCCGCTTCCTAAATGGTTGTGCGCAAGGAGTAAGACGATAATCTTCGGCAATTTCTCAAGAGAAGGGATTTTTCCAGTAAAATTATTTCCATGGAGCTGAACTATGTCTATATCTGAGGCATTAGAAATTGAAGGTGGAATGGATCCAGTGAATTGGTTATTGACAATTGAAAAGAATTCAAGATTTGGAAGAGAAATTCCTATATCCATAGGAAGATTTCCTTGGAAATGGTTGATTCCCATATCTATGGCTTGCAATAACGAAAGATTGAAGAAGGGAGGAGGAATATTACCTCAAAACTGATAATCATAAACGGATTGAAGAAGGGAGGACGAATATTACCTGAAAACTGATAATCATAAACGGTTAAGTACATTAAATTCATTAATTTGCCAAAAGTATCAGGAATAACTCCAAGAAAATGATTTCTGGATGCATAAAATAGCTGAATAGAAGATAGATTCCCCAAAGACAATGGAATAGTTCCTGTTAAATTGTTTTCCCATACGTCAATCTCTACTAGCTTTCGTAAGAACCCAATTCCTGTAGGAACTTGCCCTGACAAAATGTTATGATCCAAATAAAGAAACTTAAGGCCAGAACAATTAGATATTGTGGAAGGAATTTGGCCACTAAGTGAATTATTGCTAACAGACAACATTTGAAGTCTCTGCAAATATTCGATTTGAGGAGGGATTTCATGGCTAAAGCTATTGTTTTCAAGGCGTAATATCCTTAAAAACCTCAAATTGCCAACACGAGGTGATATAGAACCTGAAAGGTTAAGAGACTTAAGGTTTAACTCAGTTACTCTCTGATGTCTCCGGCCACATATTACACCAGACCATTGACAAAAATGAAGAGAGCTATTCCAAGAAATCATGGCAGGTCATAACTTATTTTGGCCTTGAATTCAAGCAAAGCCAATCGGTCTGTCTCATTGTTTCTGTGTATAGCTATGGCTGAAGTGAAGAGCTAAAGCACAAGAAACAATTAATAAGAGAAAGGAGGAAGAAAGTCATAATAAGAGTTTATATATGGCTCTTGAGATACTGGATTGGTTAGGTTAGTTGAGTTCATCAAGAATCATGCATATTTATAGAGATTTTTTGTCATTAATACTATATTGATTTTGCTAATATAATAATAATAATAATCATTACATGTCACTGTCTCCGCAAATTTTTAAAGAATAATTTATATATGATATTGACGAGAAGTAATTTTAAATGGATGTATGTTAAGAAATTAGATAATAAACGATATATTAATAAAGAAAATAGGACTCTATTTTAGGACAGACAAAAAAGGAAAGTGAGCTTATATATATATATATATATATATGATTTTGAGGGAGTATAATTTAATTTAAATATTTAGAGAAGCGGGATTCTTTTTTTAATTTGCAGCTTTTAAAGTTTTTTTTCTTTTTTGAATCAATGGTTTTAAGTATCAGTTAAACTTGAAAAGTGAATTTTATGAAAATTGAATCAATTCCTTGATAATTGCATTGGTGGCGGCTGCATGAATATATTATAGGATGTTAACTTTTGACTGTAATATTTATTAAGTTATGAAATCCACTTAATGTAAGCTTAAATATTATGATTAATTTATTTATAAATGTTGTTTTGACAGTAATTCATTCTATAAGAGGTTTTAAGTATTTTAAAGAGTAACAAGCGAAATTTTTTCAATTTTATCATTATTTATATTAGATATAATGATTATATTCACAGAGTTATACTTGCAATATAAGTAATTTAATAAAATTATCTTTGATTTTAGTATAATTTAAAAAAATTAATTATTTATTTAATTTTTATGTAAAAATCTTAAACGATTTTGGGTGGGAGGGAAGGAGTATCTCTTTTGACCAATTTAATTTATTCATAAAATTCATGAGATTCCTTTGACATACTATATAGATGAATAAAAATGGAAAACCATGACAAATTGATGAGATGTAAAGTCAATGCTCAATAAGATTATAGATAATAGGAGTGTTTATATAATTGCTTTTGAAAATCTAAATGTTGATGGTTATTCATAAAAAATATACTAGTATACGACTGACTACATAAATTCATTCATGGACTTTGCAATTTTAAATTTATAGCGTTTTAAATTTTGTAGATGACTTATTATGTACTTAAACTTGTAAATTTTGGTAATATTACACACTTTTCGATATTAATATCAATAATTTTTAGGGATTTTGACTTTTATCTGTAAAATATCGACTTAATATATTGTTAGTATGACTTTCAGAATAATAAGTTTTATAAATTTTAATTTTTTTAATGGGTGCTTAATTTATCTAATTTTATAAGTTGAGGTGTTAAATAAAATAATTTGAAAAATTGAAGTGTTTAATAGGTATAATTTTTGAAGTTAAAGTGTTTAATTGATCAAAGTAAAAATTGAGGGTCACAAGATTAAAGTAACAAAGTTCATGAGTTTATTTAGCCATTAGTACATATTATGTGTAAATTATACATAGCTGAAACTATAGTTTTTATACTCTTTTTAGTATAAATGCAGACATAAATTATTATTTGAATTTTGTATCAATAAATTGCTTAATTAATGATTTATTAAAAAATTAAAATATAAAAAATAATATAAAACTAAAAAATTAAATAAAAATATAATGTGTCCAATTAGAAAATCTTTAATTAGAGATTTTAATATATTTAATACATTTTCCTCAAATCCAACAATTATATATAGATACTAAAACCCAACCAGAAAGTACTGTTCATCGGAATAGTATAGTGGCAATATAACCATTTTTCCGTTTTTACCATTCTACCCTTTTTGCTATGAAATTACAGTACTAACCCCACCTTAATTTCTTGACATGGGAAGCTTATGTCGCTAACTATCTGCCCTAAATCCATGTAAATTAATAAATGGGCTACCAAATTGGAAGGCCTACAGTGATCAATGTGATTTTGGATTTGGCTGAATTAGATAAGATTAAGGCCTTTAAAATTGGTTTTGGACTTGACAGATATATTCAAAGCCTAAGCCCCAAAGGTACAAATTGAAATTTGATACAAGTTAAGGTACCAATATGCAATTTACCCTTACAATAAATGGCGGATCTCCAATATATTCACTTTCCCATTCTTTTTTCATACCTTGCATTTTTTCATTTCCTTCAGATTCCAAGAAAAACTCCCAAATCCCAAATCAAATCTGAAAAATGGCCGCCGGATCTCCACGCGAAGACAACGTTTACATGGCCAAACTGGCCGAGCAAGCCGAACGCTACGAGGAAATGGTTCAATTCATGGAGAAAGTCGTCTTTTCCACACCGGAATCCGACGAGCTCACCGTTGAGGAACGAAACCTCCTCTCCGTCGCCTACAAAAACGTCATAGGCGCTCGCCGTGCTTCCTGGAGGATCATTTCCTCCATCGAGCAGAAGGAAGAGAGCCGCGGTAACGCTGACCACGTCGCTGCAATCAAGGAGTATAGAGCCAAGATTGAGGGCGAGCTTTCCGAGATCTGCGGCGGGATCTTGAAGCTTTTGGATGAGAAGCTCGTGCCGGCTGCTGCTACCGGTGATTCCAAGGTGTTTTATCTGAAGATGAAGGGAGATTACCACAGGTATCTCGCTGAGTTCAAGACTGGAAACGAGAGGAAAGAGGCTGCTGAGAATACGCTTAGTGCGTATAAATCTGCTCAGGTTTGTGGGTTTATATTTATTTGGAGATTTAATTTCTGTATTTGTGCAAATTTATCATGTTTGACTTGAATTCTCTTATGTTAAATTAAATGGATCGTATTTGTGAGATTTACTAATTTGGATTTTGTAATATTCTCGTTTGGCTGGGTTAATTTCTGGTTTGGATCTATGGATATCTTGATCCCTCTATTTTTTAGTGATTTTTGTGAATTACAATTGATGGCTCTACCTTTTGTTATAACTGATTTTATTTTTTTACTATTTATTTGATTGGGTAATTCATATTGGAAAGGCTTGTCAAGAATCCATGCTATTGGTTTATATATTATGAATGCGACATGCCGTGTTGTTTGTATTTGTTGTTATTCTTTTAATGATTGTGGATATTATCTGATTTCCTATACATGATTTTTACTGTTTGTATTTGTTGTTATTCTTTTGATGATTGTGGATATTGTCTGATTTCCTATCCATGATTTATGAAAAGTCTAATTTGGCCATATAAGATTTTGGTCTATCATGTGATTTCAATTTGGGTATGAAAATTTCCTTGTAATTTTTGTTATGGGCATGTTAAAAACTGGAAGTTCCAGAACAGGCGGCTGGTATACCACCATAATGAAACTGCCTAATTTAATGTCAAATCTTTTTATGGTATTGATGCTTAATTGATACAGTTTTTTATTCTTTCCAATATAATAATGGGTAGTTTTTGTCCTCTATATGGATAGTGTTATTTACAAAGCTTATTGTAGTTTTGGGCAATTTGGAATGTTTGCTTCTACAGTTTCTGGGATGTCTTTACTTTGTACATTTACATTAAAATATACTATTGAATTTTTAAATGAAATTCTTGATGTGCACAAGAATGATTGGGTGATTGTTTTTATTAGAGGATATGGCAGTTCTTTGGTATGTACCTCATTTGTTATCTTGTGAACAAGCAAAATTGTTTTGTCTCCTTACTGGATATTGTTATACTTGCATACAGATAATATTTTTGGTTTGAATATTGACATCATTTGATAATAAATTGTCTTTACTGTAATGTCAATTTACAGGATATAGCAAATGCTGAACTAGCTCCAACTCATCCCATCCGGCTAGGACTGGCTCTGAACTTCTCGGTGTTTTATTATGAGATCTTGAATTCTCCTGATCGTGCTTGCAATCTTGCCAAACAGGTGAGGAAATCTGAAATTTGTGAAATTTGCTCTCTTCTTAGTGCATGTGTCATTGGTTCACTTCCTCTTTTGATTTCCCTTGACATTTAAATGGAATAAGATTAAGCTAGGAGTTTATTTTGATACTTTCTGTTTTTGTTGCTAGGTTATCTTGTGCAAATTTTAGTACAAGTTATCAATGTTTCTTTCTTTCTTTCCTTTTTTTATATCTGTAATAGATTTCCATCAACCTTTATGTTGTCTTGCTTAGGCTTTTGATGAAGCCATCTCGGAGCTCGATACACTGGGAGAAGACTCATACAAGGATAGCACTTTGATAATGCAGCTTCTTCGTGATAATCTCACTTTATGGACTTCAGATATGCAGGTCTTGATCTCTTTCATTGTGTTCCATATCTGTTACTCTGTCTTCATTAATTTTTGTCCATTAGCTGTTTGTTGATGATTGCTCTCATGTGTTTAGGATGATGGAACTGATGAGATCAAAGATGCATCCAAAAAAGAGGAAGAGCAAAAGCAATGAAGTCACTTAACTTAGTGTTATGATTTACCTCTCCACTATATGTTTTTTATCGGAGAAGTAGCTTGCTCCCACTACTTCTATTATAAGTTTTTTAGTAGGTGTACTTGTTTTATTAAGCTTGGAAGTATTTTTACTTCTTAGTTTTTTCTTTTTTATATATTTTTTAAAGTTCCAAGGAGGTCGCAAATGCTTGAATTTTAATTGTTTTTGTGACAATAAATGAACTAATGACCAAGATTTGTTTTTCCCTCTTTAAAGTCCAAGCTTGATCATTTGAAGATGTAACTTGAAATTTTTAGATTGATCTTTGTGACCTGTTAGTTTAATGATATATTATGTTTGTCAATTGTTTTACTGTTTCTCCATCCCATGCATATTATTTTTTTAATCAACCAAGTATTTTGCAGATTTAGCCTGAAAACTGAGTTTGGGTTTGTTTCTTGCTCTGAACAGCATGAAAAAGATTTGTAGAACAGCATGAGCTGTTTCATTTAAAGCTTGAGACTGGAGCCTTTTTTGCTTGGTAGAAGGGGTGTAAACAAGTCTGAGTCCAGCCGGACTGAGCTCTAATGAGCTTGGCTTGATAACAAATATAATTGAGCTCGATAGCAATATAATTGAGTTTGGAAATCTTGTCTTATAGTCAAGTTCGAGTTTAATTTTCGTTCCGCTTCATTTGAAATTTTTGAAATCAGAAGGATATCGTTTTGATGTAGGTTTCGGCTAGCTAACCGTAAACGCGTTGAGTTTAAATTTAAAATTTATGATGCGTTGATGTAGGTTTCGGCTAGCATTTATAGAGTTAAATCTCGAGCAAGATGGAAATTATGTAAAATGCTCGAGCAGCGGTTCAGTTCGGTTCGTCTCATTAACCATTGTTCTTAGAACCATTGCATGTCAAATGTCCATTAACCATTGTTCTTAGGATGGGAATTCATGTCAAATGCTTGAGCAACTTACAAGCAGTTCGGTTCATTAACCATTGTTCTTAGGATGGGAGAATTCATGTCAAATGTCAAGGCTAACGTGATCCATAGTAGAATTCTTTTTTCTTTCTTCTTTTTTTATTTTTGTTGGAATGTTCATAATAGAAATTGTTCGGTGATTGATATATTATAAAAATCTTTCATATTTTTAAAATATTATATTATATTTTATATTTATTTGTTTAAAATGAGTTGAAATTTGCCATTATATTTAATTTTTCATTTCTCATATTAAACACTTCAATTTATAAAATTAAATCAATTAAATACTTATTAGATGTTTGAAAAATATAAAAATTATTGTTTAAAAATTTACATGAACTACTTATTAAATTAATATTTTACATATAAAAACCAATAAAATATTATTAGAATTTGTAATAATGTGCCTGCCCATAATCAATTTGCAATTTTGCATCACAAAAATGCCAAGGCTATAGTTGGATAAAGAGTCTTAAAAATATATTTAGTTTTATCATACAATTCATTAATAATTACCATACATGAAGAATTTATTATTATAAAATTATCAAAATATTATCAATATAACTCGAGATAGTCATATTCTCATACTTACATAAACTTTAAGCAAAGTCTATTATATTTGATTTAAAATAAATTATGTTGGTAATGCTAACTTCAATATTTAATAAATAATAAATAATAATAATAACTTCAAAACTATCATTATTTTTTATGAACTACTCGTATCAACTATTAATTACTATTGATAAAAGGATAAATTAGTCGATTATAACAATTGTTTTGCTAAATCATATTAGATTTTTTTTAAAAAAAAAAATTATTAATTAATAGCTAATGCAATCGATTAAATTAATGAATCATTACTTTGATCAGATTTCTCCAATTTTCGTTACCGGAAAGTAGTTTTTTTTTTTTGAAGCAAACTGTTAAACCGGAAAGTAGTTGTTACTTATTAGTAATAAGTCAATCGTATATTTTCGTTTGAATTTGAATTTTACCAATTCAGAAAAAGAAAAAAAAATTTTCTCAAAAAGCAAATTTAACTAAAATTAAAATAACATAACCTTAGATCAGCCCAAAAGCCCAATCACAAGCCCAAGCCTGACCGTAGTCATTAGTTACCCGCCCAGAAAACCGACTTGAGATGCTCAACACAAGTCGGTTCGCCCGTTTATATTAGCAGAATACTACCGTTCGTTTTCCAGTTTCCCTCTTCCATTGCAGAGAACCACAGATTGGACGATCATCAGATTAAAATCAGGTAACTGATACTTCAGTTGTTTCTCTTGCTCCAGTAGTCTAGTTTAATTTTTACTCTCCTGTGTTGACCGTCATTTCTGGTTCCATTCTTCAGTTAATCTGCTTTCTAGGGTTTTAGATTATCTGTAACTGGAACAAAAGCACGAGACGAATTGAATCATTCCAAATCAAAATGGATCCAGAGATAGCGAAAACCCAAGAAGAGCGCAGGAAGATGGAACAAGAGCTTGCCTCTCTTACTTCTCTAACCTTTGATAAAGACCTCTATGGTGCAACGGACCGCGATGCCTATGTTACTTCGATTCCAGTGAATGATGAGGAGGATTTAGATGTTGTTGATAATGAAGTTGCTCGAAAGCTTGCGTCTTATACTGCCCCTAAGTCTCTCCTCAAAGAGATGCCTCGTGGTGCGGACGAAATGGATGATGGTGGGTTCAAGAAACCGTCGAAGATTATTGACCGGGAGGATGATTATAGGAGGAGGAGGTTGAACAGGGTGATTTCGCCGGATAGGCATGATGCGTTTGCGGCTGGGGAAAAGACCCCGGATCCTTCTGTAAGGACGTATGCTGATGTGATGAGGGAGGAGGCGTTGAAGAGGGAGAAGGAAGAGACTTTGAGGGCGATTGCTAAAAAGAAAAAAGAGGAAGAGGAGGCTGCAAAAGAGGGAAGGGAGAGTGCTCCTGTTGTAGCAAAGGAGGCAGCGCCTAAGAGGAGAAATAGGTGGGATCAGTCACAGGATGATGAGGGTGGTGCAGCTAAAAAGGCGAAGACTGGTTCAGATTGGGATTTGCCTGATGCCACTCCTGGTATTGGAAGATGGGATGCCACCCCTACTCCTGGGAGACTTGGGGATGCAACACCCTCTGTTGGGAGAAGGAATAGATGGGACGAGACACCCACTCCTGGCAGGCTAGCAGATTCAGATGCTACTCCTGCTGGTGGAGTTACTCCAGGGGCTACTCCAGCTGGAGTTACTTGGGATGCTACTCCAAAAGGTTTGGTCACCCCAACCCCAAAAAGGCAGAGGTCACGTTGGGATGAGACACCTGCAACTATGGGAAGCGCCACACCTATGGCAGGGGCTACGCCTGCAGCTGCTTATACTCCTGGAGTTACTCCTGTGGGTGGGATTGATTTAGCCACTCCTACTCCAAATGCTATTAATTTACGGAATGCAATGACCCCTGAGCAGTATAATTTGATGAGATGGGAGAGGGATATCGAGGAGAGAAATAGGCCCTTGACTGATGAGGAGTTGGATGCTATGTTTCCACAGGAAGGGTATAAGATTTTGGAGCCACCAGCCTCTTATGTGCCTATTAGGACACCTGCGAGGAAGTTATTAGCAACTCCAACACCAATGGGAACTCCATTGTATGCTATTCCTGAGGATAATAGGGGGCAGCAATTTGATGTGCCAAAGGAGGCTCCTGGTGGGTTGCCATTTATGAAGCCTGAGGATTATCAGTACTTTGGAGCTTTGTTAAAAGAAGAAGAGGAGGAGGAGTTGTCACCTGAGGAGCAGAAGGAGAGGAAAATTATGAAGCTCCTGCTGAAGGTTAAGAATGGGACACCTCCTCAGAGGAAGACTGCTCTGAGGCAGTTGACTGATAAGGCCAGAGAGTTTGGTGCTGGGCCTCTGTTTAACCAAATTTTGCCGCTACTTATGCAGCCAACTTTGGAAGATCAAGAGAGGCATCTCTTGGTTAAGGTAATTGATAGGGTTTTGTACAAGTTGGATGAGTTGGTCAGGCCTTTTGTTCACAAGATCCTTGTTGTGATTGAACCATTATTGATTGATGAGGACTATTATGCTCGTGTTGAAGGGAGAGAGATCATCTCCAATTTGAGTAAAGCAGCTGGTTTGGCTACTATGATCGCTGCTATGCGTCCTGATATTGATAACATAGATGAGTATGTGAGGAACACAACTGCTAGAGCTTTTAGTGTTGTTGCTTCTGCTTTGGGTATTCCAGCACTGTTACCGTTCTTGAAAGCTGTGTGTCAGAGTAAGAAATCATGGCAAGCTCGTCACACTGGTATCAAGATTGTGCAGCAGATTGCTATTTTGATTGGTTGTGCTGTTCTTCCCCATTTGAGGTCTCTTGTGGAAATCATAGAACACGGTCTCAATGATGAAAATCAAAAAGTGAGGACAATCACTGCTTTGTCCTTGGCTGCTCTGGCTGAAGCTGCTGCTCCTTATGGTATTGAAAGCTTTGACTCTGTCTTGAAGCCATTGTGGAAAGGTATTAGGTCACACCGTGGCAAGGTGTTGGCTGCTTTCTTGAAGGCAATTGGTTTTATTATTCCCCTCATGGATGCCATATATGCCAGTTACTACACCAAGGAAGTTATGTTTATCCTAATCCGTGAGTTCCAGTCTCCTGATGAAGAAATGAAGAAAATTGTCCTTAAAGTGGTCAAGCAATGTGTAAGCACCGAGGGTGTTGAAGCTGATTATATTCGATCTGATATCCTTCCAGAATTCTTTAGGAACTTTTGGGTTAGAAGGATGGCATTAGATAGGAGAAATTATAGGCAACTTGTGGATACAACTGTGGAGATTGCTAACAAGGTTGGTGTTAAAGATATTGTGGGGAGAATTGTTGAGGATCTTAAAGATGAGAGTGAACCATACAGGCGTATGGTGATGGAAACAATTGAGAAAGTGGTTGCAAACCTAGGTGCATCTGATATTGATGCTAGATTGGAAGAGCTTTTGATTGATGGTATTCTTTATGCTTTCCAAGAGCAGACTAGTGATGATGCCAATGTGATGCTCAATGGGTTTGGCGCCGTCGTAAATGCTCTTGGACAGAGGGTGAAGCCTTATCTGCCACAGATTTGTGGTACCATAAAGTGGCGCTTGAACAACAAAAGTGCCAAGGTAAGGCAACAAGCGGCAGATCTTATTTCTAGGATTGCTGTTGTAATGAAGCAGTGTCAAGAGGAGCAACTGATGGGTCATCTTGGTGTTGTCTTGTACGAGTACTTGGGAGAAGAATACCCTGAAGTTCTTGGATCAATTCTAGGAGCTCTCAAGGCTATTGTCAATGTTATTGGTATGACGAAAATGACTCCTCCTATCAAGGATTTGCTTCCTAGGTTGACACCTATATTGAAGAATAGGCATGAAAAGGTCCAAGAAAATTGCATTGATCTTGTCGGTCGTATTGCTGATCGTGGAGCCGAGTTTGTTCCAGCTAGAGAATGGATGAGAATTTGTTTTGAGCTTCTGGAGATGCTTAAGGCTCACAAGAAGGGCATTCGACGAGCTACTGTGAATACTTTTGGATATATTGCAAAAGCCATTGGGCCTCAGGATGTCCTGGCAACCTTACTAAACAATCTCAAGGTCCAGGAGCGTCAAAATCGTGTTTGCACGACTGTTGCGATTGCTATTGTTGCTGAAACCTGTTCACCTTTTACAGTTTTGCCGGCTTTGATGAATGAGTATCGTGTTCCAGAACTCAATGTGCAGAACGGTGTCTTGAAATCCCTCTCTTTCCTGTTTGAATACATAGGAGAGATGGGTAAAGACTATATCTATGCGGTGACTCCATTACTTGAAGATGCACTCATGGACAGAGATCTAGTTCATAGGCAGACTGCTGCTTCTGCAGTCAAGCACATGGCATTAGGGGTTGCTGGTTTAGGTTGTGAGGATGCTCTGGTGCACTTGCTTAACTATGTTTGGCCAAACATCTTTGAGACTTCCCCTCATGTCATCAATGCAGTTATGGAAGCCATTGAAGGAATGAGGGTAGCCCTGGGTGCAGCTGTTGTATTAAACTACTGTCTTCAGGGTCTGTTCCATCCTGCTCGAAAGGTCAGAGAAGTGTACTGGAAGATCTACAATTCACTGTATATTGGAGCTCAAGACGCTCTTGTGGCAGCTTATCCTGTGCTGGAAGATGAGCATAGCAACGTATATAGTCGGCCTGAGTTGATGATGTTTATTTGAAGTGCTATATCTGAGTTTCTGTGACATGGACGATATCCGATGGAGTCATCTAAAATGGAAGTGTTAGACAAACTTATTCTCTTTAGTTGTTATAATACGTTTACTCCGATGCAATTGTTGGACTGAATTAAACTTGTATGTTTGTAGGTATTTGTTTGGTCTTCTTTAGTTTACTAGTGTAAGAGCACTCATGAAATTAATCTCTAGCTTTCTATCTTTCATAATTCCCTTTTTCAATTTGGTGCTAGTCTGCGGCCAACAGTACCAGTGGGATTCCAGCAACACCACCAACTTGGGCAGCAAATCTGTCACCTTAATGCTACAATGGTAGGCAATGAATCCTTGAATTAAATGGCTATGGAATTGTTTAACGACAATATAACAATTTGTCTTTTATAGAGTCTATGCAGGTATATTTTTTGTTCTTTGGTTTATATTTATAGGTTCTTCTGCGCAAGTCTCTAGTTAAAAGTTGTTTGTATGATGATGCATTGATTTTTTGTCATTTGTTTAGATTCTTTTCACAAATTCTGTCTGGTGCTTGTGTTTTACATGTGGCAATTTCAGTGCTAAAGATTAGAGATGAAGGTGAGGGTGCTACACTTGCCGAGTGGTGGGGTTTTTGTTTCTTTCATGGAAAAGGTTCGCAAAAATGAAATTTTCAGTGTCAGCTCCCATTCAAATCTCCTCTCTACAGTATCAACATCTGTTTCTGAAACTCGTGGAGTTGTCTGATGAAATATCAATTTCTTTCTGATTTACCCTTCATTTTGTTAATTTGTCCAGATTAATGATCCAACTGCTATTATGCATTTGGTAATAATTCTTTCTATGCATGTACAGCGGTTCTATTGTCAGGTTACGTTTATGGTGGCAAACGAAATGAACTTTTCCAAATTACAAGGCTCTTTGGTTTTCTTTTCATTTAGACCTCCAAAATTTTGTATTTAGAATGAAAAAGAAAATTCAGAAAATAAAGTTCTCACCTGATGATTTAAGTAAGTGGTTCGGATGGTAAAAAGGGATTGTTTACTCCAATAGGGTGATAGCTTGGTTGATGAATGGTTTTACTTGAGGGTTGGATTGGGATTTGCAGCAGGTTTGTTGGTTCCATTTTTAATTTTTACAATCAGAAGATCTTGGTGTTATATGTACTTCGTTGTTGTGGATAAGTAGTAGATAGATTGAGTACTGAAAAAAGAGGAGCAATCATAAGAAAAACTCATGGTGGCCATTGAGCTTTCTCTTATTAGTCTTAATTTTGTTGTTCTATGAATGTACTTTTCTTGATTGTTATAAGAAGTTCTTTGCGTTTTGAAGTATTATTTAATTATTTATTGTAATTAATATTTTGATTATAACAAGAGACTTGTTTGGACAAAATTAGCTATTTCATCTATGAACGATGGAGATACTGTAATTCGGAAATTTTTATTTTTGTTTTTAGCTTTTACATAATTTTAAGTTATTTTGAGCGCATTTGTATTAATTACATTTCAATTAAAAGGATACAATATAGTTTGGTATTTGTCGTTTGTTTTTTGTTAAATTATTATATTAAAAACATTTTTGGAAATAAAAGTAAATGAATTTTTTATTTATTAATTTACTTTTAAATATAATTTTATGGGAGTTAATTCAATTTCATAATTTGATTTATGAATGATAATTATGAAAAATTCATTTTATAAATAACTTATTTTATAAATTATATACATGTCTCTATTATTAATTGTTTCATGATATTTATAATCTTGTCTCTGTTTAATTTATATGTTGATGAGAAAAAAAAAAAATTCAAATCCCGCTGAACTTTGTTTTATTTTTTTTATGAAAATTAAAAAAATGATTGAAATTTTTGTTTTTACGAGAATTAGAAAAATGATTGAAACACGTTATACAGTATAATGTTTAAATTATAAAATCAATATTAATTTTATCTCATATTAAAATACCAGTAATATTTCTATTTTTTTATTTCATGACTTGATATAATGAAGAACTTGTGTACTCAAAATTTTAATTAATTTAAAAATAATGATAAAAGAGAGAGAAATGAATGTAAAAATAAAAATAAATTATATAAATAAAATAGAATTTTTTTAATGTACTGTTAAAATTCTAAATAACATGAAATAAAGTAAAATCATCATTTATTGCGATTAAATGGAACAAAGAAAATAATATTTATAATAATAAAACTAAAGGACATCAAACACTATTACATTTCGCATTTCACATATATAATTAATTAATTTTTTAAATAATCATGTCTATTATTATTTTTTTTTCTAAAACAACTGGCTAGTGTTGCCAAACAGCAAGATGCAATTTCTTGACTTATATTTTATATTTTGCTGATGATGAGAAAAAACGATTAATAATATAATAAAAAATAAAAATAAACAAAGATTGCAGTAGCCTATCCAGCCTACCGGCAATATATATCTATATAACTCCATTCCCGCTCAAAGCCCTTCCTCCTCTCACCTCTCTCTCTACTCTCTACAATTGCCATGGATCCAAAAGAAGCAGATAATCAGCCTGATCAAATGAAATCCTTAGCAGAATTTCTAATACGCCACCATTCTGAACAACTCCATTCTACTGTTCTCGCTATTGACTCTAAGCTTCACTACCCTCTCTACATAGAGTATATCATATCACCCTTAAAAACCACGACTACTTATTGGGTTTCTTTTTCTCCTCCTCTTAAATTTCTCATTTTGTCTCTCTTTCAGTTTTGCAGAGCTTATGGACGAAAATCCTGAACTCGCCCATCTCGTCTTCTCTCAACCAACCGAGTACTTGCGACATTTCGACCAAGCTGCATTGTGGGCTCATGTATGTAATATTTTTATGTATTTAACCTTTTCGAATACATTCGTCTAAAATCGAACAACTTTGTATCGGTGTAGGACTACATGTATGAATATGAGCTTAATAATCCAGCTGAAGTTGCTTAAAGTTGTTCATTTTAGTGTGTCTATGCATCTTTATACTTATATTATGTAGATAATTGCTCAACTCAATAAATTCTTTTTGAAATGAACTTTGTGCCTTTGTGGCTGTGGATTTGCCTTAACATATAATTTTTGAATCTATATTTAGAGCCATGGTCGCTCAATGAATTTTGTTCAAGTCATTGACTGATATGGGTATTGCATGTGGGTGAATGTAGAAAATTGTGTTGAATAATTTGAATTTTGGGGAGAAGGGGATTCAGAAGAAATTTATTCATGTTCGAATTAATGTCAGCGGATCTCCACTTGAATGCCCTGGTTTGCTTCTCTCTCTCTCTCTCTCTCTCTCTCTCTCTCAGGTAATTTTCGGTCTTTTCATTGACTTTTATACATGAGTTTGTTTTGGGTGTAACAGAGACTTTTCCAAGCATTGGGCGCGTGAGAGTGAAGCATCGAGGGATTCTCCTGACTTTGAAAGGAACTGTAATCAGGTCTGGAGCAATAAAGATGTATGAAGGGGAGAGGATGTATCGGTGTCGAAAATGCAAGCATGAGTGCGTTTTATTTACACATTTCTCAGTTGTACATGCATATTCATATACATCCATTAAGTTTCTATTGATTTAATTTACTTGGGATTGCACCATAGTTACATGTGGGAATTGCAGGAAAGCATGAAGCTCCACATTTAGTTTCTGTTTATTCTTTGGTTTTGGTGGAGGAATCAGATAATAAATTATTGGTATGTGCAATGTTGATTGGTAGTAGACTAGTAGGTTTAGTTCTCAAGTAAGATTAGTCGGTGGATAACTGTTTCTGGCAAGCTTTAACTTTGCCAATCATTAGGCTCAACAAGTCTAGGAAAGCTTAACATGGTCACTAACTGCATTTTAAGTTCTATAAAGTAGAACTTGTGCACCTGAATATTCTGTTCTATTCAGTACTCTTTTACTGATAGCGGTGGCCATTGAATTACTAGCATGTTGGCATACATCACGTTTGTTTACCTTGGTAGTTGTGCCCTAGTTGCATATCATCACAATTCAAAATGCAGTCTCATCTCTAATGAATATCTGGATCTATATTATAGAGAAACTTGCAGCCACTTTTCCTTTCTTTAAGTTGTTTCTGGGATCAGCTATCTTCATAAGGAGGAAAGGCATGCATGGATATAACACCCTTTAAGTTGTCACTACAATTTGACCTGCATCCCGGAGGCTCAAATTTTCTCCTGAAGTGAAAATTCAGGCTAAAGTAAGCTGTAGTCCTGGAGCTGATGACAATTAGATGGGTCAATGCCATTATTTCCCAGCTCACCTGCAGACTTGAAAACTCAAATGAGTTGAAAAGAAAAGAATAACGGAATAATTTTTCAGCATGACCCAATCTACATGTATTGTAGAATCAAATTGATTACTAATTTAAGTTTGGATCTCTTGTCTTAGTTAGTTAAGAGGAGTCATGGAAAGAAGAAGATACTATCTTTCCCAACTTGACATGGAATTTCATTGTTTTAGTTTTTTGAACTAGATATTAAATTATAGTTAAGGCTAAGTTTACATCACTAACTGCTAAATTGCATTTTGCATGTTAACAAGTTTAATTTCCGAAATTCCATATGCAAATTGTTTGGTCAACAATATTATGTGCAGGTTTCCAGTTTACCCTGAGCTTGAGAGTAGAAACTCCATAACACTGCCATCCTTTTGCCCCTCTCTGGTTCGCTCACTCAACACCTGATTCTATTTTTCTCGTCATTCAATCTATTGTTCCTTACAAGTGTTCACAGATAAGGATATAAAAGTAGTTTGCAATGATCAGATGATATTCGGTTGTTCAGTAAAGTGATTGAAGCATATCCATAGTAATAAGTTATTTCCAAATCACTGTTGTTTAATTTTTTGGATTGACATCTTTGATCTATTAAATCAAGTTTAGACACTTAAATTCAAGGATAAATTGACTTTTTCTTTTGTACACTTTTTGCATGTTTTAAGATTCACCTAATATTGCTCCATGAGCATGACTTATAATGAGTCATTAGATAGTTAGAGCTTTGCTATAGAACTAGTACATTTTGATGCAAAGTATCTCGGAGTTTGGTCACTAATCCATTGTGTCCAATGACAGAGATCTAAACCTTGTGAAGGCTTGAAGTTTGATTGTGTAGATGAAACTATAATACGACATGATTATCAGGAAATCAAAATACAAGAAAGTACACAGGTGTTGGGTGTCGGGGTTATCCCTCGCTCAATTCCTGTCATCCTAAAGGATGATCTTGTTGACATTGTTAAAGCTGGAGGTACTGCTTTGTCAAAAGCTTTGTTTTTATTGACATTTCTAATTTTGCCTTTTTGAATTACCTATATATTCTCACACAGAACTTCAGATCATGTTGGGAACTGTTCCCAGTTTTATTAACCATGAAAGAAAAATGATGCATATTGACAAGTGGGCTATCCATTCTTTTGGTTATTCAAATTAAACAATAAATGATATGAATCTTTTTTTCCACCCAGTCCTTTAAAGAGATAAGAAAATAATTAAATATGGTGCACTAAAGGATTGGAATAAAAGAAAGAAATTTGTGTTAATTATTATTCCTAGAAAGAATATTTGCTTTTTCACATTATGTATTTATGTTTGAGTAGCTTCCTCTTCTCATACCATACTTTCTATTTCTATATATAACTTTTTAAATTGCTTACAGAAAGTATGTTTGATATTTTAAGAATGCAGTTTCACTCAGGCAGTCCATTTGCTTAGATTGAATGTATTTTGGAAAAACTCACTTTGTATTTCAAAATAAATATTTGAACAAACATACGTTTTTTTCTTTTCTTTTTTTTTTTTTTTTTTTTTTTTTTTTTTTTTTTTATGTTTATTTATGTTTGAGTAGGCTCTCCTCTTTCTTCATACCATACTTTTCTATTTCTTATAATATAACTTTTTAAATTGCTTACAGAAAGTATGTTTGATATTTTTAAGAAATGGGCAGTTTCACTCCCAAGGCAGGTCCAATTTTGCTTAGATTGAATGTATTTTGGAAAAAAACTCACTTTGTATTCAAAATAAATATTTAGAAACAAACATACGTTTTTTTCTTTTCTTTTTTTTTTTTTTTTTTTTTTTTTTTTTTTTGTCATTCGCTAAATTAGCTTACTTTCTAGAGTCTTAAACTAATTAGTTGCTACAAAAAATGGATTTACAGTTTTTTTTTAATTATGCTTCTTAGTATATTGTAATGCCTATCCTTTGTCTTTAACAAACAGCTAATTTGTGAAGATGTGCAATTCTAAAGCTGTATTGATGTTCTTCTTAACGATTTAGCTAGCTTACAAGATCATCTGAATTTGCAATTCTTCTTATCCTTATGTTCGAACTGTTTCATACTGCATTGGAGTCGTTTTGGATTTTCTTTTGTTTGGTTGTGCATTGAGGAATCGTGATTACTTTGTGCAGATTGATGTTCATTGTTACTGGGATTTTGACTGCAAGGTGGTCTCCTGATTTTAAAAGATCTGTCCGTTGCAACCTGACCTGTATTAGTTGCTTAACATGGAGGGTAAATGGACTCTGATGTGAATTTAACTGGTACCTTCCATAGTAATCTTTGGTAGTCTTGGATTGCCACATAGCATAATTGGTCCAAAAGATTTATGTTATGTTCACGAGAGGTGCCACATCAGCACTATAGTCATGAAGGTTAGAACGCTGATACTAGAAATTAACCAATTGAAACGTCGTTAATCCCCATTTTTGTTATTGAGGCAGCTATGTGTACGAGTCATTATTTTTCATTAAAGGTTGTAATGATTTTAAATTCTTCTTTAACTGCTTGCCATGCCATCCATGGTTTATGATTCTTGTTGTTCCACTCTTTTACTTAGGATATGGTTTTAGCTCTTTAGAATAGGCCACATTCAAACATTCTATGTCGGAAATGATCAAACCAGCCTAAATTGGGCTTTCCCGCAACTTTTTACTAAATGGATGTCACTTTTACCCTTCCTAATGAATGCATAGATTACTTTTTATGGAGTCCCTTTCTCAAAGTTATATTACAACCACTCCTCAATCTTTTTTCCTTTTCACTTCTCTTCTTCTTCTTCTATTCTCTACCAGCATCTTCATTCTTGCTTTAAGTTGTCTCACTTTTCTTTTGACCTTCTTTTTTGTTGGTATAACCGTGAACTCAAATTTACTGTACTTTGTCAGAGTCACCAACTCATATGTAGACAGGTTCAATCCTGTACTTGCCTGGACAAACTTTTTAGTTTGTGTTAATCTTGGGGAAAATCTATTGTTTTCTGTTTAGCGAGAGAACTAATGAGCTTAAATCAGATATTGACATTTCCCCAATGATATTTATCAATGAAATTCAACCAGTTTTGGTCAGACTTCAAGGATGCTCCCTTCTAAAAGGAAAAGTATTAGCAATATACTTGTCCTTTTAAACTATAAAGGTGCTGGTTTTAGTGTACAGAAGCTGCTGTTAAGTGTGTGAGTAGATTTTTTTTTAAACAGGTTAATTGAAATTCTCATGTATATATAAATATAAATCTTTATGCAGTATAATTATATCATTTTCACTTTTAAATTCTTCTTCTTTCTTTCTTCTTTTTCCCGCTCAAATTTCGACCATAGTTGATTCTAAACCAGGGGAGGGGAAACGCCCATTTTGCGAGGTATTTGCCCACAGGTTTATTTTTGGACTTTTCACGGTGATAGCTTGCAGGTGGTCAATTGTGTCAATCTATATTGTTTCATATTTATTATTTCATTCCAGTATGATATTCTCTTATTGCCTTCAATATTGGCATTTTTCCTGGAACTTAGTTGCATTAACACTCATTGGGGTTTGCAAATGTTGTAGCTTCTGGAACAAAGATTCAGAGGGGGAATCCTCACTTGTTCTGGTTGCGTGAATTTCCAGGTTTGATTGTTTTACTTTAAGGGGGAATTTGTTGTTTTGTTAGTTGTTATCTATTGGATTTGCTTGAATAATATGCATTCTGGTTATTAAACCTCTCGCAATCAATCACTACATATTTTGTTTTTATTCTTTTTAACTTGAAATTTAATTATATCTTTAATGATCTCTCTTTCCACACATAGATACACAGGTCTAATTATGTATAATTTAAATTCCTAATTAGTCACAGAGACTCTTGCCAGCACTGGAGCAAAAGTTTTTTTTACTATTAAGAAATACATTGATATAATAGTAAGTATGTGGGGGTTAGTATGAATAAATTTCACAGTACTGGGCAAGATCTCGTTTCTTAAAATTTGCTGCGCAAAACTTGAGGCAACCGATCTGTCAATCACTAACTGGGTTGGGGGAGCTCTTAGTGCTGGATTAACTGTCACTGCTGTCAAGGATGGAGGATAATTGTAATTGCCTTGATCTAAACATACGTTTTGTTAAACTTTGACTAGAGTGCTTGTATTGTTATGTTTGTTGTATTTAAACTATAGTTTCCTTAATCTGCTGACTTATTGCGATTATGAACATTGGTTGAAAACTATGTGATAGGGTTTTTTTTACCTTCTGTTTATCGACACAGTAAAAACAGAAGAAATACTAAGGTCAAAATCTTCAACGCATGTGGTTCAAAAATTTGTTTGATTGAATTCATTAGCTGGTTGAGTTTTCTGATAACTTGAAATTTTATAATACATCCGTAATTTCTTTACCTGTGTATGAAAGATTTCTGCTATAACAATTGAGAATCGTGAATTAACAGGAGCTAAACAGGTATCATAATTAGTGCCAACAAAATTTTTTCTTTTCTTGTATCATATATTATTTGGCAGTTCAGTCTGCTGAATTCACACCCTTGTCTATTTGACTTATCTAATTCCATGTTCATTTTCCCTAACCATTCAATAGAATCTTGCTATATTGCCTAAACTATTGGACAAAAATTTGGCGGGAGTGAAGGTGGTATATACTTCAAAAACCAAGATGGTATGTATTGTTTCACATTAAGGGTCAATATTCATAAATCATTTTTTTAACTCTTCAAAAATTTTTTATTATTATGTGGTATAAAATCTTTCTCATATATTTTTATGGCAGAGCAACACTTGCCAAGAAAGTTGCTTAGAAAATTTGTTCATTTTCGATTAGGATCTAGGCACTACTATCTATCTCATATTGCTAGCATCCACCTTAATATCTTAATAATACGACAGACCTTAAAGGAAATATTTCTTGTTATTACATGAATTGATCCTTGCAGCTTTTTTTAAGAAACATAATGCAATATAGTCAGGGATGAAGCATATTTGTGATGTGATAGGAGAAGGATGTTAAGAAGCTGGAGCCCTCGTTCTGCAGATGGAGGGCTTTTGCATTGATGAATTGATAGGTATTCTCTTCCAATGTTTGCATTGAAAGCACTATGTGAACTAGTTGTACAATATTCACTTTGATCTCCTACACCCAATTATTGGGTTCTTTTAGCCTTCGAAGCATCATAATTTTCCATCTTTCTTTTACTAAAATAGAAATTTTTCTTTAGGTGGACCGTGGTATATGGTGATGGCTATTTGGAAGCCTGTTCTGCAATCACTTGGAATTAGAGACTTTGATTTCATTGGAATATACAACTTCACTAAATGAAGGGTTAGGCAGTATAAAATGGGGTCACTATTGGTTGTCTAATTGATTTATCTTTCATTTCATTTGCCTTTGGTGTTTGATATCAAGTAAATTTCGTTTGCCAGTATGAAAGAACATCGACAGGGCAAACGAATACATGACGGCAAACTGGAACAGCAGACATAAGCATTTGCAAAAGGTTTGTTTGTCTATTTCTTAAATGGTCTTACACATGATACAGAAACTTATGTGAACTCTATTTTTTTCGAGCATTGTTGGTTTGGTCCAAGTCATCTTTGGCATTTAAGCTTGAATATGATAATCTTCCTCGATGTCTAAAATTCAGCATCTTAAAGTGTTTGGACCTTCCTATTAATAATCTCGTCATGATCCTCCTCTTTCCTAGAAGTTCAAAACGATCAACTATTAAGCATTGTCATACATAGCTGTTTGCTGAAGCACATATACTGAATGACAGTTAAATATCTGTGGTGGGACCTAGGGTTGTGAGTGGCCTTCAGTTGGCTAACTTTTTATACGTTCCAATACCGATGTTTTTTTCTTGTCTTATAGAATTAGTATGCAACATAGGGGAGTCATGGACCATGATGCCCTGGGAGCAGAGTGTATGTCAAGCTGATCTCTTATTCTTTTTTACATGACATGACATTCCTAGTTATCATTGAAGGGCCCGAATTGAAGAAGCTCAAACACATTCTAAGACACAGGGAGGGGAGTTAGGAAGGAAATCTCTTACGGAGGATAAGACCAAAGTGACTTCCAAGTAAGAGAGCTCCAAGCTTCTACCTTTTGTCCATATCATATTATCATACGGTCATTACGAATTACAAAAATCCCCAAGGACTGAGAAAGAAATGTGTGCCATAAGTGAATTGAAAAAATGTTTATTGTATACCATAAGTGAATGAAAAAAATGTTTCTTGTATAATTATTATTGTTATTTCATTGCGGTATTTATACATTAGCCACCATTCTATTTCTTCTATATCATTCTCATTAATTTGCCACAAAATTCTTTCCAGTG